GTACACGGTATATCCCTAGTATCTAGGAGAAGTTTGTTGTAACAAATGTAATCTCGTGTATACCATGGTGATATAAATACAAGAGCCGGGACCCAGGATGAGGTAACCCGTTTCCATACTGTTTTACATGGTATCAGAAAGCCTATCTCTCCTCACGGAGTAAGATCCAATCCACGAAATCCATGGCGGATTCCTCTGCCAATGCGCCGCTCGCCTTTGGCCTCCTTCCCGTCGTCTCTGAAAAGCTCACCCGTGGCAACTACAATATGTGGTATGCCACGGTGTCCTCGGCGTTGAAGGGTGCCCGGCTCGGTGGGTACATCCTCCCCACTGCCGCGCCGCCAGCCGCGTTCCTCGCTGTCGACGCTGCATCGACGGCTGATGGCAAGAAGCCGGATCCCCAGCCAAATCAGGCCTATGAGAAGTGGGTCGCTGAAGATCAGATCGTGCTCAGCTACCTCTTCTCCTCTCTGACCAAAGAGATCTTTGGCCAGGTCGCCAAGGCGACCACCGCGGCGGAACTTTGGGCCGCCATTCAGGAGCTTCACGCGTCGCAGTCACGGGCGCGTCTCATGACCACGCGCATGGCGCTCACCACCGCCAAGAAGGGCACGTCGTCCATCGCGGAGTTCTTCGTCAAGATGAAGGGTCTTGCTGACGACATGGCATCGGCGGGACGCAAGCTGGAAGATGAGGAACTTGTGACGTTTATCCTCACGGGATTGGGCGAGGACTTTGAGTCCATTGTCAGCGCCATCGCCTCCCGCGTCGAGCCGATTTCTGTCAATGAGCTCTATGCTCAACTCGTTGCTTTTGAGCAGCGCAAGCAGATCAACACCGACGGCGGTTCCCAGTCGTCTGTCAACGCGGTCACCAGGGGTGGCCGTGGCGGGCACTCCTCCAGCCCCAACCAACCTCGCGGCCGTGGTGATGGTGGCCGTGGGGGCTTTCGTCGCGGAGGCGGCGGCCGTAGCAATGGTGGTCGTGGCAATGGGGGTGGCGGTGGTGGCGGTGGCCGCAACTTCCTCTCGGGCATCTTCTGCCAGCTCTGTGGCAAGGAGGGCCACACCGTGGTGCACTGTTTCAAGCGCTTCGACGCCACATTCACTGGAGTTCCTCAGAAGAGCGCCTCATCCGCCATCACTTCACAGTACGGGGTGGACTCGAATTGGTATGTGGACTCTGGGGCCACAGACCATATAACTGGAGAGCTAGAGAAGCTGTCATCCTTCCGCGACAGGTACATGGGAGGAGAACAAGTGCACACGGCAAATGGGGCAGGTATGCGAATTGATCACATTGGTCACAATATTTTGCATTCTCCAATTCGTGATGTTCATCTGAAAAATATTCTTCATGTCCCTAGTGCAAATAAAAGTCTCCTTTCAGTACATCGTCTTGTTAAAGACAATAACGCTTTCCTTGAACTTCATCCCAATCACTTTTCTCTTAAGGAGCAGGAGACGAAGAAAACCCTCCTCGAAGGGAAATGTGAGGGTGGCCTTTATCCAGTGAAGCCGCTGAAATCCACACCATCCACTCCATCAAATAAACAAGTTCTCGGTGCCTTCAAGCCGTCTACTTCTGTGTGGCATGATCGTCTTGGTCATGCCTCCACCCCGGTCGTCCAGAGAGTTCTTAGTCAAAATAAGTTGTCTTTTTCAAATAGTCCAAATAAAGGTGTGGTTTGTGATGCGTGTCAGATGGGCAAGGCTCATCAGTTACCCTATCCTAAGTCAAACAGTGTTTCTTCCAAACCTTTTGAGCTTGTGTTTAGTGATGTGTGGGGGCCGGCTCCTACTTCTGTTGGCCGGCACTCCTATTATGTGAGCTTCATTGATGATTTTAGCAAGTTTACGTGGATCTATTTGTTGCGCTATAAATCTGAAGTCTTTCAATGTTTTCGTGACTTCCAAAGCATGGTTGAGCGTCAATATAATCATAAAATCCTAGCTGTCCAATCTGATTGGGGAGGAGAATATCAATCTCTCAATTCTTTCTTTAAACGTCTAGGAATTGCTCACCATGTGTCATGCCCACATGCGCACCAACAAAATGGGTCTGCGGAACGTAAACATCGTCACATCGTTGAAGTTGGCTTGTGCCTTCTTGCACACGCCTCCATGCCGCTCAAATATTGGGACGAAGCCTTCTTGACGGCTGTTTTTCTTATAAACCGTCTTCCATCCAAAGTCATAGCCAATGCCACACCACACGAGCGTCTTCTCGGTTCACCACCGGATTACTCTTTTCTCCGAACCTTTGGTTGTGCGGTTTGGCCAAATTTGAGACCCTACAATGCAAAGAAAGTCCAATTTAGATCTAAACGCTGTGTGTTCCTTGGTTACAGCAATTTACATAAGGGCTTCAAATGTCTAGATCCATCCACTGGGCGTATCTATGTGTCACGAGATGTAGTCTTTGATGAAACACTTTATCCTTTTGCTCAACTACATCCTAACGCTGGAGCGCGTCTCCGTGCTGAATTTGCCCTCCTACCAGACATTCTCCAAAATCCTTCGTCCGAGTTTGGGAATGCAAAAATCGGTGATCAAAACGTGATTGATTCTAACCCTGCTAATGCTGTACCAAGCACTGCCTCTGTTGTGGATGAAACAGGTGAAAATCCGATGACAAATCGTGAAGACACGGCGCGTCCAGGGGGTCATTTTGTGTTGCCCTCGGCAGCACCACGTCAGGACAACGACGGCACGGGTCCCGGAGGTGATCCGCCTGCTACGCCTGATCCTCGTACCGACTCGGCGGCGGGATCAGACTCGGGTGCTGGGCTGTCGCCTCCATCGCACGGGGGCGCGTCTGCCCCTGGATCTTCTACACCATCAGCATCGGCACAGCTATCTTCGCCTGCGTCGTCCTCTGACACAGCGGATCCGAGCCTGGGGGGCTGTCTCCTCCGGCAGCGAATCTGCCGTCTCCGGATTTGGATGCGGGAGGTGCGCCTGCGCCTTCTCCTGTGTTTGACGCTGCATCACCTCCTCCTTCACCGCCACCACCGCATCACCATGGCACTCGACTTCAGCGTGGCATCGTTCAGCCTCGAGTTCGCACAGATGGGACTGTTCCATGGGGCTTGCATAGTTCTGTTGAACCCGAGGAGCCAAGCACCGTGAAGTCTGCTCTCGCGGATCCTCGTTGGGTGGCAGCCATGGATAAGGAACATGGTGCTTTGCTGGAGAATAAAACATGGCACCTTGTTCCACCGCCTAAAGGCAAAAATGTTATCGGTTGCAAATGGGTTTATAAGGTTAAGAGGAAAGCTGATGGCAGTGTGGATCGCTACAAAGCTCGGTTGGTTGCCAAAGGATACCGGCAACGCTATGGTGTTGATTATGAAGATACGTTCAGTCCAGTTGTGAAGGCCGCCACTGTTGTTTGATTCTATCGGTGGCAGTCTCCAAGGGGTGGTCGTTGCGGCAGCTTGATGTGCAAAACGCCTTTCTTCATGGTGTTCTTGAGGAAGAAGTTTTTATGCGGCAACCTCCAGGATACGAGGACAAGCAGCATCCACATTTTGTATGCAAGCTAGACAAGGCGTTATACGGTCTTAAACAGGCGCCTCGTGCATGGTATGCTCGTTTATGTGGCAAACTAGTTCAGCTCGGCTTCACTCCCTCCAAAGGTGACACCTCCTTGTTTTATTATAGCAAGGGTTCTGTTACTATTTTTGTGCTGGTCTACGTCGATGATATTATCGTTGCTAGTTCGTCATCAGCAGCGACTAAGGCCTTGCTTGCTGATCTTGAGAAAGAGTTTGCTCTCAAGGACTTGGGTGATCTCCATTATTTTCTTGGAATTGAAGTAAAGCAGGGTGAAGATGGTTTGGTTCTGTCACAGCAGCGCTATGCTGCTGATGTTGTACACCGAGCTAATATGGGGAGCTGTCGGCCTGTGGACACCCCTATTTCGACATCGGAAAAACTCAGCATCACCGATGGATCAAGTCTTAGTGAGGAAGATGCTACACGGTACCGCAGCGTCGTTGGCGCACTCCAGTACCTTACACTCACCAGGCCTGATCTTTCTTTTGCCGTCAACAAAGTGTGTCAATTTCTACATTCTCCAACAACAGCACATTGGAGTGCAGTGAAGAGAATTCTGCGCTATGTCAAAGGCACTTTAAGTTTGGGTTTGAAGATCAGAAAGTCCAGCTCGTCTCTTGTCAGTGCTTTCTCTGATGCAGATTGGGCTGGGTGTGTTGATGATAGGCGTTCGACTGGTGGCTTTGCAGTTTTCTTTGGCCCCAATCTCATCTCTTGGAGTGCTCGGAAGCAGCCGACTGTGTCACGTTCTAGCACTGAGGCGGAGTACAAAGCACTTGCCAATGCCACCGCTGAAATGATGTGGATTCAGCGGTTGTTAACTGAGCTTGGCGTCTCTCATGTTCCTGTTGCTCGGTTGTGGTGTGACAACCTCGGAGCTAAGTACTTATCGGCCAATCCGGTCTTCCACGCCAGAACAAAACATATTGAAATCGATTTTCATTTTGTTCGTGAGCGGGTAGCACAGAAGCTCTTGGATATACGGTTCATAAGCACAGGTGATCAACTCGCAGATGGATTCACGAAGCCAATCACAGCGTTGAAGTTGAAAGAATTTAGATTCAATCTCAATCTTGTTAGTGGCTGAGATTGAGGGAGGATATTAGATGATATGATATCGTTGGTAGTTGAGATAGCGATAGACTTGAGATAGAATTGTTGTACACGGTATATCCCTAGTATCTAGGAGAAGTTTGTTGTAACAAATGTAATCTCGTGTATACCATGGTGATATAAATAAGAGCCGGGACCCAGGATGAGGTAACCCGTTTCCATACTGTTTTACACCAATCACCATGAATCTAGCGATGAGTTAAGTTAAATGTTCGCACTTGTTGGTCCGATGCAACAAGGAATGCAGCAACAACGCCACTGAACAAATATCAAGTACTATCTTTCTTCTCTTTAAATCTGTTGCCCACTAATTTACAATAATTATTACTAGGACATGGAAAGCTCCAACCGCCTCCCCTGCGAGTAACCGCCACCGCCGCCGCAAGGCGATCTCTGAACCGAGCTAAGGAACGCGGCGCAGAGCACCGTGATCTCCAGGGCCAGGAGCTTCCCGTCGACCAGGCCGATGAGGACGATGGCGACAAGAACTAGAGCAGGGAACCGGATCCCTGCTTGCTCCTCTTCCTCTTCCTCCTCCTCGATGAGGTCGTCCACCGACGCATCGATTTCTACGGGCGCGGCAGCATCTGCTTCTACGCCTTGGCTGCGGCGAGAACCCCTCGAAGAATCCGCCTCTTTGGCAGCGGCGTCGTCCTCCGCGGCGACACCGGTTTGACCGGCGGAGACACGGCGGGAGCCCGAGGAATCCGCCGTCTTGGCATTGCCACCGCCGCGCGCCGTGGCATCGTCCGCTCGGTCGCCCTCGCTGCGGAAAGAGGAACCTGACGAACCAGCCTCCTTACTCCTCCGTCCTCTGTGCAGCTTCTTGGCGCTGGCCGCGAGCAGCTTCTTCCAGGACTTCTTCTTTGCCTTTGCCTTCGGGTTGCTTGATTCGTCGAGGACGCCGCCGCTGCTTTCTTTTTCTTCGACTTCGACGGCCAGGATGCAGGCGTCGCTTGCCCTGTCGGAATCCGAGCAGCTCGGCCGCGACGGCTCGGTCTCCGCGTCGACTTCCCGGATCGGCGAGACGCGCCCGCGGCCGTCCTCCAGGCAAAGCCGCCTCTCGGTCACCGCCGGCCGGGGCCGGGGCCGCCTCCTGTGGGGCAGCGAGGACGACGACCTCACGGACTCGAGCAGGTAGAGCAAGAAGGAGGCGATGGTTCTTGACGACGAGGTCGGCGAGGGAGGTGGGGAAGCCGGTCTGGACGGGGAGGGGCCCGGCGCGGGAGGGGCGGAGCGCGGCGAGGAGGCGGCCAAGGCGGTCGGAAGGGCGGTCCTTCGGCGGGCTGGGCATCGGCGGCCGCGCCCGTCGCCGGGGAGCATAGGAGGACGGAGCGCCGGCGCGCGGGCCGGGGGGAGGTTGATTGGGAGGGGGTTCTTGGCTCTTCGGTGCGGTTCGGTGCTGTCTCCTCTTTGGGTTGGTTGCCGTGGGTGGCCGAGTTCGTGTCCGCAGTCCCTCCGCTTTTGGGGCGTGCGGAGACCGTGGGGGAGACGGCGAGCGCCGAGTGGGTTTTGTTTTCTTTTCAACTTTTCTTTGTCTTATTCTTATTTTTTGGGCTCTTAGAAAAAGAATAAATGGAGCCGGGTTTTTGTGATTGGCTAAGTTTGAAATGGACGGAAGGGAAGCGTGTTTGGGATGGTTTTGCTGGGAGCGGTTGTGGAAGAGCACGGTGGCTGTGTCGAAAGAACATGGAACACGCGTATGCTATTTCCTAGCAATCAGCCTATCGCTCCTAAACATGTTAATAGTTCTAAAAGTTAGAATTTTGTGGATGAATTTTGGGCCAACAACAAATAAAAAATACTTTTAAAAAAAACTTTGCTCTCTTGTTTGTTCTTAATTCAACACAGTACTCATTGGTTATCGGATCAATTACCTACACGCCACTATAAACGACACTCTAAAAGATCAAGATTCTATAACCGCAACTACAAAAAATTGTCATGCCTAACATACCATCGTCAAATTTTACTCGTGACCTTTGTGCCACTGCCATTAGTTTTGTTAGGCCTAATATTTATTTTGACCGGATACTACTATTTTTTCTCAAAATGACAATTTTGCCCCTCTCCCTTTGCTTTGCCTTCAAGCCGCTAGGATGAGCCATGCTCCCACTGGGAGTCGTCCTCCATGAGGATTCGACCATCGGAGTGCTCCATGATGCCGCACAGGAAATCCCCCAAACCAAAGGGGATGGGAGGCGAGTAGGCCGGCTTTGCAACCGAGGCCACCTACACCCTCGCACTGCACCGCCTACACCACGCCTCATGCTGGCCTGCGTTGCGTCACCTTGCGCCAGCCCATGCTGCGTCTTCTCGATGCTGCAATTCGCCATGGTTCGCACTGTGCTGCCGTCCACGCTCCTGAGATTCATGCTCTAGTTAACCATTATATCAATCTTGTTCCCTTGCAAGCTCCCGAGATTAGTGCAAAGAGTGAGGTTGTGAGCTCCATAGTAGAGTTGTGTGCTCCAGAATAGAAAAAAGTTGACCAAAGCATGGTTGTGCTAAGGATTGATTGATACTACACGGTAACACTAGAGATCCAAGCATATTTGAGTTATTTCTTTAGGTAGGTAATTCATGGCATCAATTCAAACTTCTTCCTAAAAGACCGGATAAAATAGTACATCGGAGAATTAGAGATATCTTACTGATCTGAACCTTTCTATTACCCTTTCGTCATCTTCCTTTGTTATGTAATGTTCTTAGGTTCACGTTCTAATGTAGTTTCTAATATTTGTGACTTATTATTGCTACTTGGTAACCCCAGAGATCCTAACATATTGGATCATTTCTTCAATTAACTAACTTATGGCATCAATTAAAAAGGTCTGCTCAAAATTGCCCCTACAAAATATACAATAGAGATAATATCCGACCTAAACTTTTTATATAGTTTGGTTGAGGAATTACTAAGTCCTATCTCACCACATATGGTACAGATGAAAGTTTAGCAACGCTGTTTCTGCTCTATGCAAAACAATTATAGTTTCTCGTTTCTATGTATAATATAGGCGTATTATATAGCACAAGTAGTTGTGCAATATATTGACATGCTTAATTTTTTTTTTCAAACATGCGGTTCTACTCATTTGTAATGCTATTTTCAGCTCTTACCTTTCTACCAGCTACATCTGAAGCTAATTATTTGCTCTATGCATATTGCAATGCTACTACGGAACATATTGTTCTATCATAACAATGATGGTTTTATCGTGATTCCAAATGTATTCAAGAGTTATCACTTCGCGTAGAGAAATGTAACTTGAAAGCTATTGGGCGGCTATTTTATACCAATGTAAAGACATAAATTTGTTGAAATGAAGATTTCATCTCAAATACCATCACTCAAGAGCTCTATCATCCTAACCTAAAGACCTACACTGGTTCGAATTTGTTTGTCAGTGTGTATTCCTATTAATACAGTGACTTCATCAATCTCAAAATATGTCGGCCAGCTTTTCAAAAGCATTAATAGGAGTATTAAAAAAATAGCATACAAAAACGCCATGACACACGTTTAAACATTTGAAATGCAATAGAAGATAAGCCGATACATACAAGGGCTCCGTACATACATAATCCTATATACCGTAGCCTTTTAAAAGTTTTTTTTATGGAACCTATTACGAACAATTGGAAAATAAACATACAACCATAGCACACATGCAATTGCGTTTACCGGGTGTTCTCCTTATTTTAGCAATGCATGTTGTGCAATGGAACTCTAGAAGGAAAAAAAAAAGCTCCTGAAAGTGGTTAAAAGAAGTCAACGCAGTTTTTTAAGCCGGGCCGTCACATACTCGCATGCTTGCGCGTGAAAGCCGAACAAGATCTTGGGCAGTTGTGGTGCTCTTTTCTGAAAGACACGATGGCAGGTTGACATACTGGCAAGTACTAATATGCTTCGCGATCCTCTAAAACAATGTGGATTTTGACAGAGAATCAGGATTTCGTGGAGTACGTTGACGAATCACGAGATCTTCTGTGGACCGGGTGGCAGCTGCTGGTCGCGTAGCGAGACGATTCTGCGGCAACTGCAAGCAACCTCTGGCCGGCTCTGGGTGATTCGTCAACTGATCCAATCCAAGCTCCAACGGTTTCTGTTTCTCATCTCACAAAATAAAACGTGTTAAAATTCTGTCACCACGAAGTGATATACTCCTAAGTAATGATATTTTTCGTTTGTTCCTATAATCACCGGTAGAACAGGACGCAAACAAAGCCTGGCACGCACTCATCTGAGTACTATCTGATGTCGACGAGGTAGAGAATCCCTGGCCGGCAACGTGACACACGATGAAACACAGTGGTCGTACTAGTAGATTATTAGTAGATGGATGGAGGTTGTGACTTCTCTGATTCTCATTTTCCCTTTCCAAGTCACCAGGTCCAGGCCGTCTCCGTCACGCGGGTCTCGTGACATAACAGGCAGCGAGACTTGAGCCCTCGCGAGTCGGGCTTGGTACAGGGCCATGCCGTGCGGCGTACGTGCAGGTGCAGGTGCAGGTGCAGGAGACCCGGCCCCGCCGGCCGGCAGTTTCCACGGAAATAAACAAGAGAATTCTGAGCCACGCGCTAAGGACTTGTTTAAATGCAGGCGTAAAGTTGGTCTCACATCCGGTGGGTATTATACGAAGATATTGCATAGGGTGGTTGATATTAATAAAAAAAAATTACAGAATCTGTTAATAATTCATGAGACGAATTTATTAAGCATAATTAATTCGTCATTAGCACATGTGTTACTGTAGCATAGCGTTATCAAATCATGAACTAATTAGGCTTAAAAGATTCGTCTTGTAAATTAGTTGTAAACTATACAATTAATTATTTTTTAGTCTATATTTAATACTTGTATGTGTTCAAATATTCGATAGGATAAGAAGTAAACTTAAACGAGGCCTCAACCGACTGAAATGTCAAGTTTCTCAACAACAGCACGTGCGAATGAAATGATGGTCATCCGATCGCAAAGTCTACTAGAGGCATTTTTGGTTTTTTCTCGTATTTGGAGCAAACCATTTTAATTTTGACTAAAATTATATAAAAATGTATTAACACTTGTAAGACAAAATAAATATCATTAGATTAGTTATAGAATATATTTTCGTAATAAATTAATTTCAAGCCATAAATACTAATACTATTTACTATAAACTTAGTTAAAGTTAGACTAATTTGACCGACATATTTCCTATAATTATATTCTTTCGTGGACAGAGTGAGTAGCACTTCCCTGACACGTGACATGCAGGCACTCATCATGACCTATTTGAATAAAGTCTTTCCTTGCCGGACATTGTCTATGAGACAAATGCATCGTAATCTAAAGTATTCAAAATGAGATGCCCAAATACAGAAAATGGTGTGGATTTCTTTTCCAAAGGTTATGGTCAAAGTTAAACTGTTCTTTTTTTTTTGAAACCAGGCAAGAGAGTTGTTGATTATATTAGAAAGAAGATAAGTCTAAAGTGGGCACAACGTGCCCAAATTAGCACTACCATTCTTTCGTATTTTGGGCATAACTCTCAGCTGCAAACTTCAATTTCAATGATCTAGGACTTTTCAGAAAGCTAATGAAATGCTCTACAAGCTTGAGGTGGTGGAAATCAAGTTTGAGCTAAAGGTGGCACCACCATGGTCACCGGACTGTTCGGTGCCTGGCACCGCCATATTTTTTTCAGAGAGGGACGAAAACACGTTTTGGGTGCTACGGGGGCACCGCCACCCCTATGAAAGGTCATAATATGGCTAGAGGGGGGTGAATAGCCTATTCAAACTCTACAAAAACTCTAGAGCAATTTGATTAGTGACACAAATGGCGTAATACAAATTTGCTCTACCTCTACAAGGGTTGCAAGCCACCTATCCAATAATTTTAGTTGCTATGATCACTAAGCACAATCAAGAGCTAGGTCACTACTCACCAAGAGCTCTCAAAAAGGCTACACTAAAGAACTCCACTCGATGAAACTAAGTTACAAAGTAAGCTCTCAAAACTAGTTACACTAAAGAGCTTGCTACAGCTAGTTTGCAAGAAAGTAATGGAGTGAGTAGGGTGATTATACCGCCGTGTAGAGGAATGAACCAATAACAATATGATAACCAATCACAAGAATGACATACGGTTTTTCTCCCGAGGTTCGCGTGTTTGTCGGCACGCTAGTCCCTGTTATGTCGATCAACACTTGGTGGTTCGACGGCTAATAAGTATCACACACCTAGCCCACCACAAGAGGTGCCACAAGAACCTACCCATAAGTGAAGTAACTCAATGACACGAGCAATTTACTAGAGCTACCTTACGGCTCTTCGCCGGAGAAGGTGCAAGACCCCTCACAATCTCCGGAGCCAACCACGAACAATCACCAACACGTGTCAAAGCTCCTCCGCTGCTCCAAGCCATCAAGGTGGTTACAACCACCAAGAAAAACAAGAAATCCATAGCCACAACGATCCTCAAGTACCACTAGATGCAATCACTCAAGCAAATGCACTTGAAATCACTCCCAATCTCACTATGATGATGAATCAATGATAGAGATGAGTAGAAGGTGTTTGCTTAGGCTCACAAGGATGTCAAGTATGTTAAAGTGCCAAGAGAGTGAGCCCAAAGCTGGCCAAACACTATTTATAGATGAAAGTGTAATCAAGCGCTAATTATGGGTTTTGATGATAATGACCATGCGATTAGAGAACTAATGAGATTTATCGAGATGATAAGCAGGGAATTTATGTTCGAGAATACTACACGATATGGAGGATCCCCCAATTACAAATGTAGATGTCTTCAAACTCAAAGGAGGTTTAAATTCTTTTATATTTTGAATTTGAGTATAGGAAAAGCCATACTATAAAGGAGGACACAATGCTTAAGCTAATATATGCTACCAAGTGCTCAAACATACACATACATCCTCAGATTCATAGCCAAGACAGTCTACGGTTCACTCTTACCCTTACTATCTTGCGTGGTGCGGCACTGCCGCACTTGAAGAAAGGCATTGCCATAGTGCGGCACTGCCACACTTGAGCCACGGCACTGCCACGACTCAAGTGACCGTTGAGGGCTGGGGGTATTTATACCCTTCCCCTTCCTTCCCAACGGCACTCTACCTCTTCTTCCTCACTCCAGCTCATCCAAAATAGAAAGGAGCCTCTCTCTCTCCCTCCATTGTTGACTTTGAGCCCTCAAGCAAATCCATTGATTTCCCCATCAATCCTTGAGAGAAAAGGGTCCAAGACTCGATTAGAGAGCTGCTCCATTGATTCCCCAACTCTAAAGAGTAGTTGGTTCCCATTTTGGTCGGCGGTTGTGTTTGTTACTCTC